AAGAGTGTCTGATCACAAAATTGGGATCTATCCAAAATCTTTTTTTATGGAGACTCCTAGCTCTACCTAGATGCACCCCTGCAGCTTTGATGCGAGCAGAACTCAGTTTGTCCTCTGTCAGGGCCCGTGTACGTGTAGCCTTGATAAGATATTGGAGAAAGCAAAGCAATGACACCACCAATTTACTTCGCAGACAATGTGATGAGATGCTGTTGCAAAATAATGCTGCCCAGATAGCCTGCTATAATAGCATCCTCCATTGCTGCTCCACATCAGATGACACCCAGGGTGTCCCCATAGCTGGTTCCAATATTTGTGACTGGATGTTTAAATGTGATGTTGCAACAGACAGGCAGTCAATTTCCCAGTCCAAACTCTCCCAGTGGTTCATACTGATTAAAAGGGACCACGTCAGAGCCTCTTACCTGGTTAATTTCTCCCCCCTTAACCTCAGAATAGCCTTTCCTTCAATTCGGTTTAAAACCATTTTAATGGCATGTAAGCTGCTCTGAGACTCCAAGTGAAGGGTGGGTTAAATCCAATCTCTTCTCTTCTTTTTCTTCTTCTTCTTCTTACTCCCAAACACCACTGGATTTCAGTCTTTGCATTTGTGGAGCTTCAGTTCCAGAGACCCTATCGCCAGCGTTCCCTCTAAGCTGAGTTAATGTGAGCTAGCTCACAGTTTTTTAGCCTCTGGCTCACACATTTTTGTCTTAGCTCAGGAAGGAGGGCTCCAGAGCAATGTTCCCTCTAAGCTGTGGAGTCTTGTGAGCAAAAATTCTACTTTGTGAGCTGCTGGCATTAAAGTTGTGAGCGAGCGATTTGGCTACTGCATAAATTAGTTTGCTCTGGAGCCATCCTTCCTGAGCTAAGTCACTACATTTCATCCTGTCACAGTGCTTTTAATGGGCTTACATTTTTCTTCAGACTCAGAGAAGCTGTGTTTTCTTCTCTCAGATGCTGATCCATCTGTCTCCTATAGAGTGTCGCTCCTTGCTTTAGCAGCCAAGAAAATACAGGCTAGAGCTGCAGCTAAACAAGGCAGTGCTTTTATTTGATTAGTACTTTTTTGTTTGTTTTAATGCTGATGTTTGTAATTATGTTATATATGTCAGATTGTAACAGCCTTTGGCATCTGACCACATAAATAATTTGCGTTCTTTGTTTCTGTGCTCTAAGAGAGTTGGGTTTTTTTCTGGTTTCCTTTTGTAAAAGTTTCTCCGAGGCTCTTGAGGAAAGTAGGACGAGCTAAAATGAGGACGGTGGCTCTCACGCCGACCTATAGTGGTGAAGCAGATGCGCTTCTCCCATCCTTACGAACGGAGGTGTGGAGCTGGGGAAAGGGAAAAGCCGGACAGCTAGGACACGGCGATGTCTTACCAAGGTAAGGAGTTCCTGAAGGCAGCTGTTCCATGCCAGGGTTCGGCACTGGCTTTTCCCTCCATTTTCCCACATTGGAACAGAAATTCCCCTCTGCATTGCACGCTGCTTTCACTTCCTTTTGTCATCGGATTTTATGGTACCCTCCACAATGCATGCCGCTTTCGCTTTCTTTGATCATCGGATTTTATGGTACCTTCTGCATATATTTATGGCCGTTTTATGGCTGTTCCGGGGTGATTTTGCAGTCAGTACGGGCTTTGCCTTGAGGTATTTGAATGTGGTTTTGAGCTGCACTTTTTCCTTCTGGTTGAGAGAATGTGGAGCGAATGCTAAATCCAGAATCGCCCATTACTTACAGAGTTTGTTGGGATGTTAGCTAAAAGCCGCTATGTCCGTTTACAGAATGTTTACCATTTTGTTCATTGCTTCAGTCACTACGTTAGGCCCATCCGTAATGGGAAACCCCCCCACAAAAAAAACAAAACTTGGTGTCAACATTGTCATGACATTCTCCTCTGTGTTGCTAATGATATTTTAGATCAGTTAGAAATCTGTATTTCGTTATGCAACATTCTGTGTTGCATGTTCATGTTGAGGAACCTGATTTCATTTTCTTGGGTTCACAGGCTCCAACCACTATGTGTAAAAAGTCTTGATGGTAAGGAAGTAATTCATGTGTCTGCCGGTGGGCATCATTCCATGGCACTCACTGCCAAGTCGCAGGTATGTGAATAAAATATTGTTGTCTGCTCATGCTTCCAGAGCCTTGTTTGATCTTCTTGGGTTCCCATTCCCCTGGTCAGACTCTGACATGATCCATTGGGTTGAAAAGAAGTTCTCAAGCAACAGGCTTAACAGCTTTTGGTACAAATGTATATAGCTTTGCAAAAAGTGTAAATGAATGCATTTGGTTTTAAACTAAAGAATGCTAAACTATATGAGGACATTCACTGAAATGTAAAAAGTATGCTCCTTTTAAAGTGAGGAGTGGGGAGCATGTGATGGCTTGTGGGTAGGATCTGGACCATGTCCAGGCTAGGAAATAGAGTTGTAAGAGGTAAAGGAAGTGCTGAATGTGCAGGGAAGATAATGAGAAGCCCATAATACCAAAGATTCCCCTGTCTATATAAGGAGTAGGGGGAGAAAAGACACAAGAAAGATGTGCATACCTGAGGAGCAGAAGGGGAAAAACCCAAATGTGGAAAGGTGTGCTCAAGATACTGACCAGTACTCTTAAAAATTGGAAGTCATAGAATCATAGAGTTGGAAGGGAACTCCAGGCCTATCCAGTCCAACCCATTCATAATGCAGGAAATTCACAAATACCCCCCCCACACACACCCGGCGTCCGCCGCTCCACGCCCAGAAGATGACAAAAGTCCCAGGAAGCCTTCCCAGAAGTCATTGTGAGGCTCTAGTGGTGAGGGAAGGGCAGGCCGTGCATTTCCTGCTTGTGGTGCCACAGAGCACATAAGTGAACCGACTCTGAGCGCCAAACTGAGTTTCAGAAGGTGCTCGTCTCTAAAGAATGACGGTCTGTAAAACCTAGAAGAAAATATGAGTAACAGTTGAATGACATTGATTGATATGCTATCATTCACTTTCTTTGAATATAAAGTAGCTGTTCTTTTCCCGTTCTGCCCACGTTCTCTGCACAGGTTTATTCATGGGGCAGTAATACTTGTGGACAGCTTTGTCACTCGAATTCTCCAACCACGGTCCCTCGTCTTGCAAAGGTACTTCTTAAAATTCTTTTTAAAATGTTTAAAAGTTCATGAGTTTTCGGTATACAGATTGAAAACTTTGTTTCCATTTTGAGAGTTCTAGCACCTCTTTTTTTGAAAAAAGAGCCCTGAAGTCTAGTAATATTAACTAAATTTGAAAGCTTGGGTGGGTCATCTTTGCATTTTTAAAAATTACATGCATTTCGTCTTTGCATCATGTTGCCAAATAAGCATAAAGGGCACAATAGTATACATAGGCTGCATTCATCCAAATGGTCAGTCTTATTTAAGCAGCCTAACTGTGTGGAAGATTGCAGCCTAAAAATATTTCCAAATTCTTGAACGACAAGTGGGATAACAGATAATATTTCTGCAATCCTCAGTGTTCACCTATCCTTACTGCTTGCAGAAATATCCCACCTATTAGAACAGGGCCTTATTTTACAGATTTATCAGTGCACATCATAGGGCAATTGTTCAGAATTACGTATATGATATTTTGACAGCTGAATCTTATGCAGTTGATGGTGATAGGCTAACTAATTTTTTTAAAATTAAGGAAGGCTTGTTGCTTTGATTAAACGCAAGGGAGAAGCTTTCAGTTTTCTATGTGCAACGGAATAATTCTGTTTCAGAATCAATCTTCTATGAGCCCGTTCTTCATATGGTCAAGAAGTTCCCTTTATCTTTCTAGTAGGGTCTTGTTCTTATTTATTTCTCTCCTATTCTGTGATTTATTTCTCTCTCTCTCTCTGTGTACGGCTTCCAGGTAAACAGTGACCAAAACGTCTGGCATATAGTGGCAGGCCCAGATTATTCACTGTTTCTGGTAGATGGAGAAGATTTCCAGCCTTTATTATATTATAGTGGTCAAGGAGAAAGGAAGGAAGGTGACGTCTCATTTGAAAATGGCAGCTCAAAGAGTCCAACACTGTTGCTCTCATGTAGTAAGGTATGGATTATTTTTCTGCTTGGGATCAGTTGAAAATTTAGCGGCCTAGTAGTAGTGTTTAGAAACAGAAACTTCCTTGCTCCCAGGAACCTGTTAAATTGGGGGGGGGGGGTAAAGTAGTGCAGAGGAGGCTGGAAATAAGGAATTCATGCCGATCCCTGGCCTGGTGGAATGTGCTCCCGTCTGAGATCAGGGCCCTGCAGGACTTACTCCTGTTCTGCAGGGCCTGTAAAATGGAGCTGTTCTGGCAGACCTTTGGTTGAGGCAGCTGGCATCCAATAAAAACTGGTGTCCCCTGCTGAAGTTGAAGCTTACTACCTCTGCGTGGCCCAGATTAAGAAGATCTCAGAAACCCAATGGCGCCTGCTCGGAAACTATGTACAGAGATAAATAGTGTGTCCTGTTTTAATCTATGTTGTTTTAAACCGTTTTTAATTATTCTGTGAGGTTGTATTTATGTGTTTTAGAACTTGCTTGTAATCCACCCTGAGCCCGCTGTGGGGAGGGCTGAATATAAATTGAAATAAGTAAGGAAGATACCTGTGTAAATTAGAGCTGACTGTAATTTTTTTCCTTAGGTTTTTAAAAATGGTTTGCCTTCCTTCCAGCTAGGGTATATAAGCAGTGTGGCAGCAGGGGGAACGAACTGTTTGGCCTTGGTGGATAAAAACATTATGGGCTACATTGCCAGTCTGCATGAGTTGGCTTCAACGGAAAGACAATTCTACACAAAACTGAGTGCTATAAAATCACAAGTCCTCCGACCTCTCTTGGGATTAGGTGAGGCATTTCTTCACAGCATCTTCTTCTATGTCTGACTGACTTTTAAAGGATGACTTCCTTTTTGTCTAAATAGATTGCCATTGATGATTTTCCGTCTTAATACCAACAAAAACCTCTCTAACCAGGTATCCCCCCTCTAAGTCACCTCTCTAACAAGGTATCCCCCTCTGTCCCAGCCACGCACTGCAGCTGCCGAGAGGCTCAGATAAAGAAAAACCTGCAGACTGCCTTTGGTCTGCCTTTAGCACTATGCTAGATCTCCTGCTGTTTCAGGACATAACACTGCTTCTGTAGCGTTTAATATACCAAAAGCTTCCCTGCCAGGCAAGCCGCTGGGTTCGAAGGGTATCGCCGCACTATAAAAGTACCAGCAGCGGGCGGCAGAATTCCAGACTTCGTTTGCTCATCCCCCAAATTGACACCCCCCCTTGGCCCTTTGCTACACGCTTGCTTTCTTCACGGCCACCCAAAGTCTTCCTTTTCTCAAATCACTGGTTGGAAAATACACACACACCATGAGGAAAGGAACTGCCCAAATTAGATCTAATTTACAATCGTACATTTTTATGTGTCTGCATGAGAATCATGGAACAAGATCCACGAATAAAAACCAAAAGCTTCCCTGCCAGGCAAGCCGCTGGGTTCGAAGGGTATCGCCGCACTATAAAAGTACCAGCAGCGGGCGGCAGAATTCCAGACTTCATTTGCTCATCCCACAGATTGACACACACCCTTGGCCCTTCGCTACACGCTTGCTTTCTTTTGGCCACCCAAATTCTTCCTTTTCTCAAGTCACTGGCTGGAAAATACACACCATGAGGAAAGGAACGGCCCAAATTAGATATAATTTACAATCGTAGATTTTTATGTGTCCGCATGAGAATCATGGAACAAGATCCACGATCCTAAGAATGTCACCATTTGGCCACACGGAATAAAATGGGAATCAATCGACACCTCTTTTGGCTTATTATATCAACAGTTGTCCTTGGTGTGTATGTGTATCTAATGTACTTGTGACCACCAAAGAAGGCCCAACGGTCCAAAATGTGTTTGGTCTTGTTTACCGTGATAGTGATCTTATTTGTATGCCATTGACTTTGGGATAGTCATTTGTTTTATATAATGTACATTGAGGACTACTTAGTCTGGTGATTTCAATCTAGAGGCTAAATTCAAGGCCTGTGTTTTTGTTTTAATATATATATTTATTTTTAAAAAACAGAATAGGGATACAGAAAGAAAAAAGGGAAAGGGGGCAAAAGTTTAAGAAAGGGATTTAGAATACATATTACAAGGACTTTCCAATATATGGTAATTATATAACATTTAAAACATATTTCAAGTACACAGAATATTCATGATATTCAGGAATATTTTCTCTCTCCATCATGTTGAAACTTGCCGTTGGATCAATAGATATTTAATAAACTACATAAACTAATTGTCTTAAAATCAGGAGGACATTATTTAACATTAACTATCAGATATTGAATATTTGGAATTAATGTTATATATTAATTCTTGAAGAATTTTGAAACATTAACATCTCATATATTATAATTTCTATAATCAGACTGTAGTCAGAAAAAGCAAGTAATACGTTTTAAAGATATTTCAAAAAATACAGTGATAAGCGAAACTTACATCTGAAACTGATTATATGTAAGATATATCATAAAATACTTGTAATACTATTAATCCATTAGCTAGTATAACTGTAAACTGTATCTACATCAAAATATCAAGTAAAACAGCATTTCAAAAAATCAGGAGGACATTATTTAACATTAACTATCAGATATTGAATATTTGGAATTAATGTTATATTAATTCTTGAAGAATTTTAAAACATTAACATTTCATATATTATAATTTCTGTAATCAGACTGTAGTCAGAAAAAGCAAGTGATACATTTTAAAGATATTTCAAAAAATAGTGATAAGCTAAACCTACATCTGAAACTGATTATATGTGAGATGTAAAATACTTGTAATACTATTATTCAATTAGCTAGTATAACTGTAAACTGAAACTACATCAAAATCTCAAGTAAAACAGCATTTCAGTTACTTCGTACAGATCAGAACCAATAGAAGTAATCTGTATTATTTATTTTCCATCTTTATCCATAATAGGCGTAATAGGTTTCCCATTTCCTTTCAGATTCCTTGATTGGTCTTTTGTTTACATAATTTGTTAATTTGTCCATTAGAGCATATTCTGCCATTTTATCTTTCCAATTTTCACTAGTAGGACATTCCTCTACTTTCCATTTAGTTGCCATTACTACTCTGGCTGCAGTTAGCATATATCTAAACAGTTCATGTAATGTTCTTTCGGTGTTGTCTGGCAAAATTCCCAACATAGTCTCTGGTTTCTTAGCGAAGTCCATTTTTAAAATTTTCTGAATCTCAGCCATGTATGTCTTTCCATACATGTGTTTGATTTGACAGAAACCGGAATTAATGTAGGCTGATAATTGAAGTGGTAGCGTTCCTGCCTGTTTGCATACCTGTGCGCCATTACCTAGTATAATGGACTTTTTTGAACCTGTGCAGATAACTTGGGCACCGTATCAGCTATCCAGCTCCTGCAGGAAATGGCAAGCATGTTCAGCAAGCTGTGTTACCTGACCGGCCAGCATGGAGCCTCTCTGACCAGTTTTCTCCAGGGATCAAAAGAGGCAAAGAACTTGGCTGTCGTGAAGCACTCAAGCCTTCTTTTAGAAAGTTACACTGAGCAAGTATCTGATTCTGTCTTGTATTCTCTAGAGATTCAATTAGCTAGTATAACTGTAAACTGAAACTACATCAAAATCTCAAGTAAAACAGCATTTCAGTTACTTCGTACAGATCAGAACCAATAGAAGTAATCTGTATTATTTATTTTCCATCTTTATCCATAATAGGCGTAATAGGTTTCCCATTTCCTTTCAGATTCCTTGATTGGTCTTTTGTTTACATAATTTGTTAATTTGTCCATTAGAGCATATTCTGCCATTTTATCTTTCCAATTTTCACTAGTAGGACATTCCTCTACTTTCCATTTAGTTGCCATTACTACTCTGGCTGCAGTTAGCATATATCTAAACAGTTCATGTAATGTTCTTTCGGTGTTGTCTGGCAAAATTCCCAACATAGTCTCTGGTTTCTTAGCGAAGTCCATTTTTAAAATTTTCTGAATCTCAGCCATGTATGTCTTTCCATACATGTGTTTGATTTGACAGAAACCGGAATTAATGTAGGCTGATAATTGAAGTGGTAGCGTTCCTGCCTGTTTGCATACCTGTGCGCCATTACCTAGTATAATGGACTTTTTTGAACCTGTGCAGATAACTTGGGCACCGTATCAGCTATCCAGCTCCTGCAGGAAATGGCAAGCATGTTCAGCAAGCTGTGTTACCTGACCGGCCAGCATGGAGCCTCTCTGACCAGTTTTCTCCAGGGATCAAAAGAGGCAAAGAACTTGGCTGTCGTGAAGCACTCAAGCCTTCTTTTAGAAAGTTACACTGAGCAAGTATCTGATTCTGTCTTGTATTCTCTAGAGACTTATTGTACAGCTGAAGAGAAGTTATAACAGAGGGGGAAATGAAATAAGAAAAGATATTTGAAGCTTTGTGCTGTTATCTAAATTACTGTGTTCTGAAACCTGGGAACCAAACTGCACATTCAATAAAATAGCAAGTGTTCAACAAAACTTGCAAGTAGAGGGGTTGTATTTTTTGTTTTTGAGGCCCTTCCTCATGTCATACTTCAAATGCAAAGGTGCCTGGTTGTGTTTGTGGCTCAGTGAACACTGAACTGAAACGACCGTACATTTTGAATGTTCAGATATAAATGATAACGTACCGCTGGGTGGGAAAATGGAACGTTGATGCCGCTACTCCCTCCTCAAAGATGTAACCCACCAAAGCACTCACAGTGTGAAATTTCTGTTAATTTCGGTGCAGCTCATCTAGGTTGGCGGTTCCTAACCTTTTCAGTATGGTGACCCTCAAGCCCAAATTTATTTGGTCATGGCGACCCATCCAGGGCTGTCCCAAGGTAAACGAGGGCCTTGGCACCTGTCTCGTTCAGCATTCAATTTCTACAGTGGCTAACCAGGGGTTTTTGACAAACCAACAGATATCACGCAAGCGGCATAGCTGTCCCTACTAGGAATCCCCAACAATTGGCATTACAACATACATAGCCTTTCATACAGAGGTTATATTCTAGCCTTTTTAAAATAGCTCTTTATTTTAAATCCAGGTGGTCAGCTGTGTTGGTCTGAAGCAGTAGAACAAATCTAGAGTCCAGTAGCACCTTTAAGACCAACGACATTTTATTCGAGGTGTGAGCTTTCGTGTGCATGCACACTTTTACAAATTTTCAAGCTCATACCTTGAATAAAACTTTGTCGGTCTTAAAGGTGCCACTGGACTCTAAATTTGTTCTTTATTTTAAGTTTAGTTTATAATAACTATAAGAAAATTAAAATTCAACCGCGGTAGGTTAAACATAGTAGTACAGTCAAGATATGTCCCAGTACTTGGTCTGTTGTACATTAATGCTTCTTAGAGAGGTCAAATCATTTGTTGCATTCACTTAGCAGCACTTAATAAATGCAAATCAGATGATAGTTTTGTGGGCGTTATTGGCTTCGTAATGCTCCCTTTCCATATATTTAAAATATTCCAGTCTCTGAGTACTCTCTCCTTCTCCATATTTCTCTCTACAACCCCCTAAGATTCTCACTTACTCTAGTGACCATCGGGACAACCTGGACGGTCAGCAACCCTAGTCCAGCAAGTTTATGAGGGGATTTTAATGGGGGGGGGGTTCATATGTGTGTGTGCGCGTGACTGTATGTGCACCTGGAAGTCATGGTGACCTCTGGTGACTGCCCCCTACTGGGGACCTGTAGGATATTCAGAGAGGTGGCTGAATAAAGCTTGCCCCCACCTCCTGACTGCTGATATTCCAAGAAGGTCTCCCATCCAAGTCGACCCTGCCAGAGTCGACCCTGCTTAGTTCCAAGATCTAATGAGATCGTGCTTACCTGGGCTAGCCAGGTCAGGGCAGGGTATTTTAAATCTGAAAGTCAATTTATACTCACTTTTCCTTCCACCTCTCTGGTTTAGATATTGCACTTCCTTGACGAACTTTCTAGTGATGGGTGGATTTGCGCTTCTGTCCAAACCAGCAATGTAAGTTAAAAGTGCACTAATGTTGATGATGATCGGTGTAATGCCTGCAAGCCCCCTAATCTGAATCTCCAGCCGGGTGCTGCTGCTCGTGTTAGCGCTGCACAGTGTCACCTAGAGGAGGAAACAGGACCACTTTGCACTCTCACAGGCTCGTTGACGACAATTTCCTGGGCTTGCCTGGGTTCCTTGTTTGGTGAAGTGACGGAGGCAGAGCATTGCTTCTGTGCATGCTTCTTAAATGTTCTGACTTCAATGTCCTCTTTGGCAACAGTGGAGGGGATGCCTCTGTACTGTGTATTTCTTTATTTAAGAACATAAGAGAACATAAGAACATAAGAGATGCCAATGTTGGATCAGGCCAAAGGCCCATCCAGTCCAACACTCTGTATCCCACAGTGGCCAGAAATACCAGTGCCATCAGGAGGTCCACCAGTGGGGCCAGGACATTAGAAGCCCTCCCACTGTTGACCCCCCCCCAAGCACCAAGATGACAGAGCATCACTTGCCCCAGAGTCCCTATCTATACCTTGTAGTTAATACCCACTGATGGACCTCTGCTCCATATGCTTATCTAATTCCCTTTTGAAGCCGTCCATGCTTGTAGCCGCCACCACTTCCTGTGGCAGTGAATTTTGCCCAGGTGTTCTCCTATTCCTCCCCCCACCCATCCCAGCAACAGATCTCCCTTGTAAACTCTGGGGCACATGAAACAGAAATAAGTGCGTGCCTGTGGGCGTTCTGCTCTCTACAGTCATGATTATGAATACAGAAAGCGGTGGTGCATTATCATATATAATAGCAGAACGTATGATCGGAGCTAAATTTGTGCTTTAGTTCCACACTGACATCTCTTTTGGGTATCTGGCCAAGTTCTGTAGTACATGAAGCAAAGTGTCTCTGAAATGACCTACAGTAGTAAGATAATTCCTGTATGTGCTATAGACATCTATGACATATTTTCAGGAATATTATTACATAAATGTGAATTGTTTGGGTGACAATTGATATGCTGTAATGTGTGATAATACATTAGCTGCTTTCAGCGTTACAGAGTTTAATCCAGAAGTATGCCTGTAGTCTTATTGGGACTGTATGAGACTGTTTTTGTTGAGATGCTTCACTTTCTTACCTTTACTACAGAATTTGTTTTTCTAGTCTCAACCTTTCTCCTACCTCTCAGATGGAAAAAAATTAAGACAATTGTGATAATATAGCATACGGAACAGTTGTTTGCAACAGGCCCGTCGCTACACTGGATCATTTCAGGGCTCTGCCCCCTGGCTTTCCATCAGGGTCCCCCAGTTTACTACCCTGGACAGGTAGGCAGGCAACCAGACGAGATGTGCTCACTGGCCAGCCAGTGGGTAAGAAGGGAGGGCAGAAGTCAGCTGAAGTCAAAGGGGCAGATAATGGTAGGTTGGTGGCTAGCTGGGAAGGAGATGGGGTTGCCAACTACATGCTGACAAATTCCTGGGGATTTGAGGGGTGGAGCCTGGAGAGGGTGGGGTTTGCAGAGGGGTGGGACCTCAGACAGGTAGAATGCCATAGACTCCACCCTCCAAACCAGCCATTTTGTCCTGGGTAACAATTGCTGCCAATCTCCAGGTGAGGGCTACAGATTACTCACAATTACAACTGCTCTTCAGGTAGCAGAGATCAGTTCCTCTGGAGAAAACAGTGGACTCTGTCATTATACCCTGCTGAGGTCACCACAGCAAATTGACACTGTTTGCCCAAAGCCAGAGCACTGCCCCAGAGCCTCTTTCTAGATCCCGTTGTATTGCTTTCACAACGGGCTTTACTGCTAGTCCTATATAATAGAACGTATGATCGGAGCTAAATTTGTGCTTTAGTTCCACACTGACATCTTTTTTGAGTATCTGGCCAAGTTCTGTAATACATGAAGCAAAGTGTCTCTGAAACGACCTACAATAGTAAGATAATTCCTGTATGTGCTATAGACATCTATGACATATTTTCAGGAATATTATTACATAAATGTGAATTGTTTGGGTGACAATTGATATGCTGTAATGTGTGATAATACATTAGCTGCTTTCAGTGTCACAGAGTTTCATCCAGAAGTATGCCTGTAGTCTTATTGGGACTGTATGAGACTGTTTTTGTTGAGATGCTTCACTTTCTTACCTTTACTACAGAATTTGTTTTTCTAATCTCAACCTTTCTCCTCAGATGGAAAAAATTTAAGATAATTGTGATAATATAGTATACGGACCAGTTGTTTGCAGCAGGCCCGTTGCTACATTGGATCATTTCAGGGCTCTGCCCCCTGGATTTCCATCAGGGTCCCCCAGCTTACTACCCTGGGGCAGGCAACCAGGCGGGCCCCAGATGAGATGTGCTCACTGGCCAGCCAGTGGGTAGAGTGCCTGGCGGCCCTCCGCCCTTGCCTCACCTCACCCTGTGGCGCTCCGCTTTGCCCCCGGCCAAGCTGCTCCCAGTGGCCGCCCCGCCATCTCCAGCCCCAGCTGGTCCCTGCCACAATGGGCAGAGCGAGTGCCCCTGCCTACCTGCCCTCCTGCCTGGGCGCAGACGGTCAGGACGGGACGATGAGTGGGCGCGGTGGGGGCTATGGACCCTATTTCCAAAGCAGGGAGCAGGGCCCCTGGCAGCGGGGTGTCCACGCACAGACTGGGCGGGTGCGCTCCTTTGTCCCAGGGCTCCAGGACGACGACTCATGCTTCGGGCCCAGGTCTGAGCGGCGGGGGCAAGGGAAGGGGGGAGCTTGGGCGCAAGGGAACTTCAAAACTACTACTCCTCGTCCCCCCGCAGCACACCAGGACTCAGTTGGGGCTGGAAGTCAACTCTTTGGAAGGCCCTGATTCGAACCCTTTTTATTTTAATTTCAGTGCCCCCTAAATTATTTAAAGACCCACCGATTTAAGAAATCCTGGCTACGGGCCTGGTTTGCAGTTCGTGTTCCTCACCACCTACTTGCTGCCTTGTTTGCCATCATGAGTCTGAGGAGAGAAGGCAAGATAGAAATGTGTTAAATTAATAAATAGTTTACGTGACAACAGTAAAAGATTAAAGTTTAGGAGGAGGAGGAGCATTATATCTTTCCGTTTTCCCCCTAAATTTCGATCTGCCCCGGAAGATCCTTATTTCCACGTGGCTTCAACATTTCTGGAAAGTTGCATCCTTTCCAGGTGAATTCTATAAATACTGTTTTTCATCCTTTACATGGTTTTGAGAGTAAAGGAATGTACAGATGTATTTGCAAAATGGATTTGCAAACCATGTGTGCTTCGCCACATGGTTTTGAGAGTAAAGGAATGTACAGGTATATTTGCAAAATGGATGTATTTGCAAACCATGTGTGCTTCGCTAAGCATAAAGTGCCTTCCTACGGAAGGATCCTGTCTTTTGAAACCTGTGTACAAATAGCAGCAGCCTGAATAGCACAGACTAGCCTTAGCTTGTCAGAGCTCAGCAGCTAAGCGGGGTCAGCCCTGGTTTGTATTTGGATGGGAGGCCCCCCCCCCCAAGGAAGACCTGGGTTGCCTTGGCGAGGTAGGCGACGGCAAACCACCTCTGCTCATCTCATGCCTTGAAATCCCCATGCGGAGTCAACATAAGGGAGTTGCATTTTGACAGAACTTAAGCTATATCAGAGAAGGAAGGAAGCCAATTGAATACAAAGGCTAAGGTTCTGATACAAACGGTGATCCGTACTTAGCCTTGATTCAGTTTAGATATTAATAGCAGGTGTTGTATGTAGTAATGATATAATAATAATCTAATATCAGGTGGTGTTTGTAGTAATAAGTGTCATAAGCTATGGCTAGTCTCTTACCGGGAACTGGTTACATTCCCATTATGTATTTTGAAAACCACTGAAACGTCTGTTCCGTTATGGATATCAAAGCCTGCAGGAAACATTTCTGTGGGTAACGGTTATATATTTAGCACGAGCGATTCAGACAATGAAATCTTTTCGGCAAGGTAACTAATGCCGGCGGTTAATGATATCAGACAGTCTTCTCCGACTATTCCTGCAGATCTCCTTTTAAGCTATTCAGCTTAAAAGGGAAGAAGAAACTCACCAGGATGCCTCATTGTTAGGCAACTTTGCAATGTTTCCTTTTTGAGACATTACCCGGGACTTGGTCTTACGGCACTTCTGATACTCCTTGATGCCAGTATTGTGCCTTCCCAAGTTTGCTCTCAAAGTACTTTTAAAAATGCAAGCTATCCAGATGGTTAGTTTTAGCGCCTGAGAAAAAGGAATTCTCTGATAGAGGATCCCTTTCCCCCCCCTCCCCTTCAAGCTGGTTAGAAAATGAGGAGTCGAGGAACTAGGCAAGGTACCTTCGTTTGATGTTTCCGAGGCAGCACCTCGTTAATCATGTAGAGTGGCCCTGCTGTTTAGTTCGCTAAGCTACTCCTTTGTTCCCAAAGCTTTGATTTCCCCCTGTCTTCTGTGCCTTTTGCTTGTTCCTTTCCGGATTAAAAAAAAACCACCTTATTTCATTGCTGTATAAATACGTTGATCGGGACGTATATCGTTGCAAAAGGCAACAGAGAGGAATGGGGGGGAAGTAGATTGCGTTTAACCTTGCATTCGGATGTAATGTCCTTTGAACATATTTTCCGCTACTTTGAACTTACAGCCTCTTGAGAAGCTCTCTGAAAAGTTAATAAGTTCTGTTCGGGGTGGGGGGGGGCACAATATGGATTCCTAATTGGAACTTCCTTGAGCTTCTTTTAGCAATCGGGAACTATGCAGTAAATATACTCGGACATTTATGTATTTATCACAAGATTTCCGGTCTGCTTTTTCGGCTATAGCTCCCAATCGCTAAAAGAAGCTCCTTGAACTCCTTTTGGCAGTGCAGTAAATATACTCGGACATTTATGTGTTCATTTATCACAAGATTTCCAGTCGGCTTTTTGGCTATAGTTCCGAAAGCGTGTACAAAACAATGCCGTAAAGTCACATATTAAAGCTAAGATTAAAAAAGAATGTTGACAAAAAATGAGCATCAGCGAAAAGAGCAAAATGGCCGAAAGCTGCAGAGAATGGCCATGAGATGGGAGGAGCCAAAGGAATCACTGATGAGCGAGCTTGAGCTAAATCTCTGGGGAGGGAGAGAGAGAGAGCAAGAGAAAGTGTGCATGTGTAGTGGAGACCAATGTAGCATTTACTGGGGATGGAACCTGAAGTATGGTTTAATTGGGAGATCTTAACATTTTAGCTGTTCATGATAGGGTTGCCAGGTCCCCCCTGGCCACCAGCAGGGGATGCGGGGTGGGTGGGTAGGGTTGGCAGATCCAGGTTGGGAACCTCCTGGAGTTTTGGGGGTGGAGCCTGAGGAGGACAGGGACCTCATTGGGGTACAGTGCCATATAGTCCACCCTGAAAAGCATCCATTTTCTCTGGGGGAACTGACCTCTGTAGCCTGGAGATGAGCTGTCATTCCGGGGGGGATCCCCAGGTCCCACCTGGAGGCTGGCATCCCTAGTGAGCAATGTAAATGGCAATAAGTGTAGTTAATGGTAACTTCAGCACATGGTTTCCCTCTAGAGCTATGCGTCTCTTATCAAAGTATGGCGTATTGCTTCTCGCCCGGATCCTTCTGTGGAAGTTGGCTCAGAAGGAGGGAAGATAAGTCACCCAGCCTTGTAACCTGGCCTTAACAGTGTTCTGAAGAAACACAATGCAATTACTCTACTTAAAACTAAGCATACCTAGATGGGAAGCTGTCTGAGAATAATATGTAAGCTACTCTGAGCTCCTTGGACGAAGGGCAGAGTATAAATAAAGGACACAACTAATTCTTCAAAGTGACTCCGTTGCCAGACTAAAACCCTGTTGAATTATTCCCTCCCTTTGTACTTGACAAGAGAATGAATTCCTCCCCCTCATTGGATCTGCCTCAATCTCCGCTGGTTTATGATTCCACTGAACAATAATTATATCTATTTTAGCGCTGAAAGCAAGGCTTCTAACACACACCTGTCTTTTTTTACCTACAGGGATTTCTTAAGTAAAAACCCAGCATTGCTCCAGGATTTGTCGGAGACAAATGAGGAAGCCCAGCCTTTGGTGGAGGTGCTGAACACTTTATTTTTCTTGCCCGTCAGAAGACTTCAGAGTTATTCTCGAGTTTTGCTAAAGCTGGCTACTTGTTTTGAAGTGGTAAGTTGTTGGATGCAAAAGCTTCAGTTGGGATGTGTTTTGATTCCTTGGTTACTTGAGGCTAGGGTTTCTAGGACTGGGTTGGGAAATACCTGGAGATTTGGGGGGGTGGAGTCGGGAGGGCGGAGTTTGGGGAGGGGAGGGACCTCAGCAGGGCATAATGCCATAGACTCCACCCTCCAAAATGAGGTAAATAAATAATTTTAACCTTCCTTTGTGCATGCAGAAATAATCAGTTGTATCCTGGTTAGTATTTGGATGGGAGACCTCCAAGGAAGTCCAGGGTCGATACATAGAGCCAGGCAGCAGCAAACCACCTCTATTAGTCTCTTGCCTTGAAAACCCTACAGGGCCACTGTAAGTCAAGCTGCGACTTGACGGCACTTCACACATACATTTTATACATATCTAATAATATTAATTACTGCAAATCATTAAGAAGAGAAGAGAAGAGAAGAAGAGATTGGATTTATACCTGGCCCTTCACTACCCAAAGGTGTCTCAGAGGGGCTTACAAACTCCTTTCCCCTCCCCTCCCCACAACAGACACCCTGTGAGGTAGGTGGGGCTGAGAGAGCTCTGACAGAAACTGCTCTTTTTCAAGAACACCTCTGACAGAACTATGGCTTGCCCCAGGTGCAAGTGGAGGAGTGGGGAATCAAATCCGGCTCTCCCAGATTAGAGTCCGCAGACTTAACCACTACACCAAACTGGCTCTCTCTCAGACTTAAGCAACTCAGCCTTACAATTAGTTGAACTTCTTGCATCGAGAGGCTTCATCTGTCACCTTGTGCTACCCATGAGGGTTTTGTTTGCTGTGACTTGACTGACCTTGTCAGACTTTTTAAAATACGTCCCTTTCCTAATATCGCCAGTATGAACTCATTGTAGTAATGAACCTGCTTGCGGGGAGGGCAGGGTGCAAGTCCAATAAAATAAAATTAAAATTAAATAAAACGTTGGGCTAAGTCACTGGAACCCATCTCCTTTTATTTTTATTCCTCCACAGACTTCTCCGGAATACCAGAGCCTTCAGGATTCCAGTTCTTGTTACGAATCCCTGGCTGTCCATCTTGGCAGGAAGAGAAAAGAAGCCGAGTACACCCTTAGCTTCTGGAAAACCTTTCCAGGGAAAATGACAGTATGTTGACAGCTGCCAGCCCCACAGCAGCAACTTCCCGTTCTCCACTAGCACAAGCTCGGCACCTCATGCTTCCTTCAGTCTTAACGCAGCCATTCTCTTCCCCTTCCACACCTGCTTATCAACGGGCAATACTGCCTGTCTCAGAAGGGATTATCCTCAGCCCCTTGTAGTTCAGTTTTTGTTTCCCCATTGTAACATAATTGTGATGGGTACAAATTCAGCCACGGTCTGCACACATAACTTGAGCTGACGATATCAGGCTTGTATCGGTCGGCCGTTGATGGGTTAATCTGTGGCGGTCTCTTTCACTTTAACGATAGGACTCCTTGAGGAAACCAGAGCGGCGATTGATCTGTGAAAGCAGCAATCGAGGGATGTCTCTACAGCATGCTGGGAGATTCTCGGTGAACTGGTTCATCCTCTTCAATGACGCCTTGGTCCACGCCCAGGTGAGCTCTCACATGGCTCTCGTGTGTGTGTGTGTGTGTGTGTGTGTGTGTGTGTGTGTGTGTGTGAAGTGCAGTCAAGTCGATTCTGACTTACGGTGACCCTATGAAGTAACGTTCACCAAAATGTGCCTTGCTCAGGACTCGCAGACTGAGAGCCGTGGCTTCCTTGATTCACTCGCTCTATCCCATGTTGGGCCTTCCTCTTCTCCTGCTGCCTTCACCTCTTCCTAGCATTATTGTCCTTTCCAGTGACTCTTATCTTCTCATGATGTGACCAAAGTATGATAGCCTCAGTTTGGTCATTTTAGCTTCTAGGGAGAGTTCAGGCTTGATTTGATCTTGGCACTTAGAGCTGAATTGTTTCTGTCTGGCTGACTAGGGCCAGATTTGAGGGTTCCCAGGTAAAATTTGCTCCTCTGCTGCGTCTCCCCCCCCCCTGGGTCGTAGAGTTTCTTGGCCACAAGGGCCCATACCCTCAAAGAGGTTTGAAAGGTGAGAGGCTCAGCTCTTTCTCCGGGCATCTCTCCCAGCTGAAAATGGGAAATCCCTAGGGTTGCCAGCAGTGTTCCCTCTAAGCTGAGTTAGTGTGAGCTAGCTCACAGTTTTTTAGCCTCAGGGGAATGCACAGCTTGCCTCTGACTGAAAGATAGAGCACAGAACCCAAAGACAAGCTAGGTAAAACCTAACAGATATCTTGACAGATATCTTGGGACTCTAAAGACCAGCATGTTGAACTGGGCCCAGAGTCTTACTGGAAGCTCATGCTGTTGACACAAGTTCATTTGTTCCCTGTGATGAGTCTCCATTAACAACCTGGCCACTGCATTTTGCATGGGCTGAAGTCTCCAAGCCATTGCAGTAGGATGGAAAGGGAAGCCTTTTGTTTGGAGAGCAACCTGACAGTTCAGGAATAGGCAAGACATTATTTATTTAAACCTGATCTCATCAGACCTTGGAAGCTCAGCATGCTCAGCCCCGGCTAGTATTTGGATGGGAGGCCTTCAAGTAGGGTTGCCAGGTCCCTTTCGCTCGCTGGCGGGGGGACTGGGGGGGACGTTCTGGGAGTGGGAAGTGACATTGCCTCCCATTCCCCCTGAAACAGTGACGTCACACTTGATGTGCCTGTGTCACCCAGAGGTGATGTTGGCGACATCAGGGCAGCACTCTGGATATTGGACAAAACTCTGTGGTAAAATCGGCATCAAACCATAGAGTTTTGCCCAAGATCCAGAGCATCACCCCCTGATGTCGCCGACATCACTTCCAGGTGACGCAGGCATGTTGTGTGCAATGTCACCTTTTGGGGGGATTCCCTCCCACTGGCAATATATAAATATAATAATAATAATTGGGGGATCCCCTTCCCCCACCAGGCAAATGACAACCCTAGACATCCCAGAGACTCCTCCAATGTCGTATCGGCCTCTAGTGCAAAGTCCTACTTCAACCTTGGCGTATACGCAGAAGGCACAAGAGCTGAACAAACATTCCCCAAAGGTCCTGTCCTTCCAGATTTGGGAGTGGGGAAGCTGCGTAATTCAGAAGTGCCGCTTAAAGCCAAAGTCATCATCCCCCCCCCCTATTTCCCTTAGCATTTCTAGTGATGGTGAGAAGGCAAGCACGGTCTCCCAGAGGTCAGCCTATGTGGTGTAGCGATTAGAACGTCGGACTAGGATCTGAGAGACTCGGGTTCGAATTCACACTTTGCCATGGAAGCTCATTGGGTGACCTCGGGCCTGTCACGCATTCTCAGCATAACCTGCCTCATGGCATTGTTGTGAGGATAAAACAGAATAGAGGAAAGCAACGTAAGCCATCTTGGGTCGCCAACGGGAAGTAAAATGAAATACAAATAAGTAAATGAATTTTCCCTTGGGCAGCGGTGCAGTGGTATTACTGTTCTTTGTAGCCTTGACAAAATTAAACTGTTGGATGCTTCATTGAGATCCCATGGAGCTGTGTTTTGTGTATTCAGAATGAGAATGGGTGCTGACCCTGTGGCGTTCGGCTCTTTCTCTTTGAGCGGCCATCCCTGCACAGAACGGGAGATTTCTGCTGTGGCGTCTCTGGGGTGGGGTCCCACGACGGAGCTGAGTGATCAGGCTCCTCTTCCCCTTAGTCGAGAACGTCTCAGGAGTCTCCTCTGGGTCCTGGGGCCTCAGCAGCTCTTTGTAACCGATGCCTGCTTGTACAACCGCACAGAATTTATTCTTTTCCTGAAATGGATGTTATGGCGGTCTCTGCATTCGGTGCACACTAGCAAAATGATCATTTTATTTCCGTATCTGGAAGGACATGATTATCGTTTTCATTAAATGCTGAGGCTGTCGTTATCTTCCCGAAAGTCGTTGCAGAAATATTGAAAAAGTATTTGCCATATTGAGTTAAAACTTGTAAGCATGCCCTTCCTGACTTTCCCATTTGGAATTAAAATAGGGAAGGGAGGGACAGAAATGAAGGGCCCCTGGCCCCACGCCAGTTAGCGGCACAGCTGCCTTTTAAACTTTAAAGGGCCATTTTAGTGTAGTCAGCAAGGTCTTCCCATTGAAAGTAATGGCCATTTAAAAGGGTCAACGAGCTGGGGAATGGCCCCCAGATCTAAAATAAGAACTGGGAAGTGTGTTGGGAGGGCCAGATCACTATCAGATAGTGCTGATCCGATACCTGAAATATTAAGACATTTTACTGGGTCATCCACCTCTACTCTGCGCCCACACAAAGTCAGCTTCCCACCAGGATACAAAGAGAAGGTAGGGAGAAGCCTGCATATCTCTGAATAATTCTGATGAGTGATATTCCATCATCTGGTTCTTAAGCAGAATAAGCAGTGAAGGAGTATTTGTTATGAGTGAATCTAATAGTAATAAGTTTTTCCTTTTTTGTCTTTTTTTTTTGTTGTAGTTCTCAACTCATCACATTTTCTCCTTGTCCACGCTGTGGGTAGAGCCTGTCTCTGAAGAGTCTGGTAATACGTAAGTATTTCTGGGAGGCCCTTTCAAGTTACAGGTTATTAACTTTTTTGCGGAACCTTTTTATTTTAAAAATAAAATCCTAATTCCCTTAACGTTCCAGTGCTGTGGTGCTCTTGCATCTCCTGAGATGTCAGTATAATGATGCCGGAATAACATATTTAAATAAATTCGGGTGGGTTTGAAGCAACAGAACAAAGTTAGAGTCCAGTAACACCTTTAAACCCAGTTTGAGTCCAGTGGCACCTTTAAGACCTACAAAGTTTAATCCTGGGTATAAGCTTTTGTGTGCATGCCTTCGCTGGACATTTTCAAGCAGAAGCTGGACGACCATCTTTCGGGTAAGTTGTAGGGCTATCTTTCGGCTATGCTCCTGCATTGAGTAGTGGGTTGGACTAGACGACCTGTAAGGTCCCTTCCAACTCTAACATTCTATGATTCTATGAAAAGCTTATACCTAGAATTAAACTTTGTTGGTCTTAAAGGTGGCATGGGACTCAAACTTTGTTATATTTAAATATAACACTTCTGGTTAGTGAGGTGACACTGTCAACAGCAGCAGATTTGGCCCTTTCGAAGCACATATTGGTTGGTGCAGCAATTTTTAAGGCGAAGTGCCGGTATTTGTTGAGGATGCACATAGACTTTTAAACGTCTGCCTGTCTCTTGGAGGCTAACTGATGGTCGTGCCCTTAATGTTGCTAAAAGACTTTTATGTCACAACACTGGAGAGATAAATACCCACCTCCTGTAACCCACCCTGACCTGGATGGCCCAGGCTAACCTGCTGTCATCAGATCTTGGAAGCTAAGCAGGGTCAGGGTCTGTATTTGGATGGGAAACCACCAAGGATGCCCAGTGTCACTATGCAGAGGCAGGCAATGGCAAACTGTCTCAGTTAGTCTCCTACCCTGAAGACCCTGTAACCACTGGACTCAAAGAATATAGGGGCATAATTCGTTGAGGATGCACATAGACTTTTAAACGTCTGCCTGTCTCTTGGAGGCTAACTGATGGTCACCGAATATGAACCTTCCGTGCCCTTAATGTTGCTAAAAGACTTTTATGTCACAACACTGGAGAGATAAATGCCCACCTCCTGTAACCCACCCTGACCTGGATGGCCCGGGCTAACCTGATGTCATCAGATCTTGGAAGCTAAGCAGGGTCAGGGTCTGTATTTGGATGGGAGACCACCGAGGATGCCCAGGGTCACTACGCAGAGGCAGGCAATGGCAAACTGTCTCAGTTAATCTCCTACCCTGAAGGCCCTGTGCCACTGGACTCAAAGAATATAGGGGTGTAACAGAAGTAAAATAAAATGTACCAAGCTTTGGTTAAATTGCATGATACCATTTTATTTGCTAAGCCCACCCTAAATTATGCAGTGAGGCTGGGATAGAACATATACCGGTAGCTGATGTGAGCACTTTTTTACAGGTGATTTTCTGTTTCCTTTGCATTCTTTGAACAAAATATTTTGTCTAATATATAGAAAGCAAATTGGCTCTGGGACATTGATCTAATGGGCACATTTTCTCGTGGCCAGATGCAAGAAGGGAAAAAAAGTGCTGTAGGAGGCCCATAAGCTTGCTTTAGTATTTATTTTGGCCTGTACTAGGCATGCTAATTTGTTTAGTTGTTTTTTTTTTAAATCTTATTTTCTTGGTCTTTGTGTTTCATAAGCAAAATTAAGTAAATTAGTTTATTTCTCTGGATTACAGTGTTGTGAACATGGATGATTTATTTTCTGTTTTCCTATCAGAAATGGTTTGAGAATCACCACACCCGAGGAGCAGTTCATCCTTATTTCATCAACACCACAGGAAAAGGTAAGCAGGCGATTAGTTTCCCATAGAATACAGACTGGCTTACTTTCCAGAGCCAATGTCAATAATTTTCCTTAGCCGTTCTTTAATAGTTAAGGGATGGGTATTTCATAAAATGATCTCTGCTTCTTTTGCACTGTAATTAGGCTAATTCTGTAGGGGGCAAGTGTATAGTATGGACAGGGGTCATTCCGTAGAAAAAGAGGTGCAGGAGCTCATTAGCATAACTCATTAGCGTAACTTATTTGCATATGCCACACACCCTGACGTCACCGGAAGTGTGTCAGAAGGCAACACCCACCGCTCAGGCTCCACTGGACTGTTTTGGATTGCTAGCTTTTTTTGGGGGGGGACAGGCAGATCTGTCCTCACAGAGGAGGGAGAGCTTGTGCCTGAATAAAACTTGGTCTTAAAGGCGCCCCTGGACTGTCTTGGACTGGAGGGCCAGGGGGCGCTCTGCAACTTACCTGGCTGCTTCTTGCTCTGACTGAGGGCTGCTGGGAGCAGGGGGTGGGGCTTGTTGCATGTGCCCACCCCCTGGGCTCTTTGCTGCTAGAGCTCCGCTCCTCTGCGCTCCTGCAGGAAATGACCCCTGAGTATGGATATTATTAATGTTCAGTCTCCTGCCATAGGAGAAGGAAAGGACTGAATTGTTGGGTCTTCAAGTGATGGCTTGTGACTAGGGCTGCCAGTTCAGGTTGGGAAGCCCCTGGAGATTTGGGGATGGAGGCTGGGGAGGGGAGGGACCTCATTGAGGGGCAATGCCACAGACTACACCTTCCACAGCATCCATTTTCTCCACGGGAACTGATCTCTGTAAGTCTGGAGATGAGCTGTAATTCCAGGGGATCCCCGGGTCCCACATGGAGGCTGGCATCCCTATTTTTGTGGTTAGGAGCACGGAGTTTGGTGTTTGTGGTTAGGAGCGCAGACTCTTATCTGGGAGAACTGGGTGTGTTTCCCCACTGCTCCACATGCAGCTGCTGGTGTGACCTTGGGTCAGTCACAAGTCCTTTCAGAGCTGTTCTCTCAAGAGCAGTCCTCAAAAGAGCTCTCTCAGCCCCACCTACCTCACAGGGTGTCTGTTGGGGGAAGGGGAAGGAAAAGGAAAGGAGATTGTAAGCCGCTCTGAGACTCCTTCGGGTAGTGAAGGGCAGGGGATAAATCCAGTCTCCTCTTCTTCTCTTCTTCTTGTGACTCATAATCAAATGTTCATTGACCTAAGATCCCACGTCAGCAGCATCACTGCAAATTTCTTCTTTAAAATGGTTTAAGGAATTTTTTAAGTGGGAGAAAAATGAAAAGAAAATGAGGGTCTACATGGTAAATAACATAAAATTGCATTTGATGGTCTTGAGACTTCTGCAGTGCTGCGGTTTTTATCCTGGTTGCTTCCATGATTAGTCGCACGTAGGTCTATTGGGCAAACTTGGTGTCATTCCTGCAGCCTTCCTGTACAAGTAACTGGGGGGGGGGTGAACAAGGTAACATGAAGAGAAGACAAGTATTTGAGTACTTTCACTGCATTTGTTTCAGACAAAGTGGCTGAGAGCTATAAGTCAAGCAGTGGATCAGGCCTTAAAAGGCACAACTGACTTGCCACCTTACGTGAGCAGTGGAAATCTTCAGAGGCAAGAACCCCCCATTTCCCGCAGCGCAAAATACACTTTTTACAAGGATCCTCGGCTCAAGGATGCCACTTACAATGGACGATGGCTTTCTGGGAAACCACACGGAAGGTGAAGATGTGCAAATGCTTGTATGTATGTGTCTGATAAGCAGAAATTGCTGAAACGAGACAGGGTTTTTTAAAGTTGGCTAAAATAGAGTTTCTAATCCTGAAGTCCGAAAGCCAAATGACAACTACTCATTTGTTTTTGAAAGCTGCAGTAGTCCTGCATAAACTGTGTTATGTGAGGCTCCAAATGACAAAATGGCCTATCTGTTGTGCTCTGTATATTGCAGAGGAGTCTTAAAATGGCCGGATGGAAGGATGTATTCTGGCATGTTCCGAAACGGCTTGGAAGATGGGTAAGGACAAAGAGCAGGATCGGTTGAAGGGTGGAGAGGAGGGAACCTGTTTACTGTTAAAGAATTACTTCGATAAGATGCTAAGTGATTTGTCTTTACCTTTGTGGAGGAAAAGAACAAATCTGTGTTGATTCTAGATGTTTTGCGGTATGAACTGTTATCCCTTCGTACTGTTAGACTGACTCTTATGGTGTGACCAGAAGTAAATCTTGTGAAGATTGGAAAGTATATTTGGGATTGCTGTACGAAACGAGGTGCTTAACTTTTTATGTCTCCCATACTTTTATAAACCGAACAAGAAAGGTCTCAGCCTAAGAGGTGCACAAACCAAGAATACACGAAGCTGACAAAAAGACGCTAGAAATCATATATTATACATAAGGCAAAGCTGATGAACCAAAGTCTTTATAGAAGAGTCTCAATACACCTTGAGAGACAAACCGAAGAGTCATAAGAAGACATGAAGTAGTTTGGAGTGGTTGGTTGATGAAATTCTCCGGAGTAAATTTCCATTTCGTTAGTCACTTCTTCCGAACTTCATCACAGAATTGAGAGAGCCTCAATTTGCCCGCTTGAATGTCACCGTATGCAATGCACTAGGATCAACTTACATTATTTTTCTGAATGAATCAATGGGAAATGAACTTATGATGAACTGAAGATACAAACAACAGTTCTATGATGAAGTTCGTAAGAAGTGACTAATGAAACGGAAGTTTACTCCGGAGAATTTCATCAGCCAACCACTGTCTCAAGGTGTATTGAGACTCTTCTATAAAGACTTTGGTTCATCAGCTTTGCCTTATGTATAATATATGATTCCTAGCATCTTTTTGCCAGCTTCATGTATTCTTGGTTTGTGCATCCCATACTTTTATAACAATTATTCAGTGGGTGGAAGTTCTTTGTTGCCTTCAGCCTGAATGTTGAGGATATTTGCTGTCTTTACATAACTGATTGTTATCCATATCAAAATATACATGGCATTTTGGATTGCTGGTTGTCTAGAAGGTATTGCCAAAAATACAAAATTCCTTGACTCCAGTGTGAAACCAAAAAAATTACAGAAACAGATTAACTTGACACCAGTATAGAAGTACTTGTGTTTATATACCCACTGCTTTTCAACTTCTCGGCTAGGAAAGTCATTGGCTCATTTCATATTCTGTCAATCTTGTTTCTTCATCAATAAGACATGTACTAGATTTTCAGTGCTATCCTGTATGTGTGTGCATGTGTACAGGTGTCAGCTATGCTGCCATTGTAGGTGGGGGGGAGGCAGGAAGCAGCTGGATGAACATCTTAATGTGCTGGAATGTTAGCTTTCATTTCTTCTGCTGTGTCTTATCTTTTCGCCTGATCTAGTGACCTTGGTACCTCGCTCCTCTGGCTTTGCTGGGAAAGTGAACCCGTTAGTTTAGGCGCGCTGCAGTATACCCTCTGGTTGGCTTAATTCCATCAGGGGACCCCACTTTGAATTCTGTATATCTTCTCCTCTCCCACCTTTAGCGTTAGATCTAACGCTGAATGTGTAGACAGATGACCTGCCTTTACTGTACTCAGTAAACTTGATCCTTCTGAAGGAATGTTGTTGATACTGATTGTTGTGGGACTCTGACAACAGGGAGGAGGGAGGAAGGAAAGAGATCCACTGAGTTCAGTTGTTCTTACTCACAGTACCGCAGCCT